AAAATATATTTAATTTATAATTCTATTATTTCAAAATTATAAAAAAATATTTTAAAAATATCAGAAAAGAACTTCTAGGTGCCTTAAGACAGCTCTTTTCTTTGATATTGATAAATATTAATTTAAATAATATTGTTTACTTTTTAATTTTAAAATATCAGAATAGGACATCCAGTTGTATTAAGACTGTCATTTTCTTCGATATTAAAAATAAATATTTAAAAATTACTATTTATTATATATATATTTATGAATATATAAAAATATTTAATAATATAATATAATAAAAAAATACTATTAAAACAATATATTTAAAAACAATAAAATAAATGAAGACATATAAAATAACGGACTAAATTATAGTAAAAATAAAATTAAAAATCTAATTCATAATTAATCAAAATTATAGGTATTAAATATGTTATTTCTTTATTTAATAATTTAGTGACTAAAATAAAATGATCTAAAATTCGGATATTATAATAAAATAAATTAAAAATATAAACTAAGGATTAAAATATTATTTATTAAAATTAAGGGATTAAATCTGCTATTTATCCTAAATATATTATTTTAATATAAAGGACTAAAATGAATAAAATTAAAATTAAAGAACCAAATTAAAAGGATTATAAATTTGATTTAGTGACTAAAATGTAAAGTTTACCAATTGGGATGACTGCGGACGTGGTTTAACTATTCTATAATTACGCGCATAGTCCTTCCCGAAACGACGTCGTTCGGGAAGGCCTATATATGGTCCAAAACCGGCTGGCCCGAAGGGCCAGCTTTCATTTTTTCATTTCTGTTCTCTCTCTAACTGAGAGAGAACAAATTTCTCTGCCTTCTCTCTAGCTTCCCTTATCGGAGGGAAGCCGGTCACCGGTCGGCCACCGTGTGCCGCCGTGAATGCAACCGCCGGCCACCGTATTTGGTGGCCGGAAAAATTTATTTTCACCCTAATAGATAGATCGGACCGTCCTAAGGACGGTCCCGGTGTTCTTTTCCCTTAAAAAGCTCCTAATCGGAGCGAATCTACAAAAAATACCTTCGATATTTCGAAGGTTCTGATGAGATCCGGTGGTCGAGGCTTCTTCGGTAAGTTTCTTTCCTTCCTTTTCCTTCTGTTTTTGGTTGCTGGATGTTTGACTGAGATCGTTGGTTTAGTAGTTTTTTTTTCTTTCTCTGTTTTTTTTTTGTCTTCCTTCTCCGTTCTCTGTCTCTGTCTCTGTCTCTTTTTTTTTTCAGGTTGGGGTGGTGGCTTTTATAGCCACCACCGTTGTAGCCGTCGGACCGGTCCGAAGAATGCCCTTTGGTGAGTCACCGGACTCCCAGTGGTGACTCACCGTTTGGGGGAGACGTGTGCGGCTACGGCCGGCCTTCTGGACTCTTTGGTAGACGTGGTGGAGGCTGGAACGTTGGTGTGGCGGTGAAGGCTTCTGGAAGCAGCAGCGGCGGCGCTGGGACGTGTCCCTAGGGTATATATACCCTAGGGTTTCCTCTGGCAAACTGTGGACCGTTGGATCAACCCAGATCCAACGGCTGGAATTGAAGATGGCGGCTGGTTTAGATTAGGGTTAGGAAACCCTAACTGGAAACCCAAATGTTTAGGGTTTCTGGTTTGATTTGGACCGGTTCTGGTTTGTTTGTAACTGGGCCGGTCCAGTTGTAATTGGTCTGTAATTATTATTTATATATATATGTTTAATATATATTTAATAATAATAATAATAATAATAATAATAATAATAGTAATAATAATAATAATAATAATAATATTAATAATAATAATATGGATAAAAAATTAATATCTTCAGCTGCCCCTCTTTGCTCATTCTTGTGTTAACAAGAATAGGGCAAAGATGAAAAGATAATAAAATTTTTTATCCATTTTGACTTTACTTTGATCATGATGGAGATATTGAATAAATTCTTCTCTCTCTCCAGATAAGTTCTTCTTATTATGAACTTTCTGCTGGGGCTGATGATGACCTCCTTTCTGTGATAGAGTCATTCAAAAGGTTGAATAAGCTCTTGATGAGTTATTCTCATTATGAACTTTTTCTAGAAAGGCTGATGCTAATCTATCTCCTTCTGCGATAGAAATATGCAAAAAGTTGAACAAGTTCTTCTTTCTTCTTCAGATGAGTTCTTCTCATTATGAACTTCTCCGGAAAAGATAATCCATCAATTGATGAATTCAGGTAAAAGGTTGAACAAATTCTTCTAATTATGAACTTTTTCTTCCTTCTTCAGATGAGTTCTTCTCATTATGAACTTTCTCTGGAAAAGATGATCCCTCAAATGATGGATTCAGGTAAAAGGTTGAACAAATTCTTCTCATTATGAACTTCTTCTTCCTTCTTCAGATGAGTTCTTCTCATTATGAACTTTCTCTGGAAAAGCTGATCTCTCAAATGATGGATTCAGGTAAAAGGTTGAACAAATTCTTCTCATTATGAACTTCTTCTTCCTTCTTTAGATGAGTTCTTCTCATTATGAACTTTCTCTGGAAAAAATGATCCATCAAGTGATGGATTCAGGTAAAAGGTTGAACAAATTCTTCTCATTATGAACTTCTTCTTCCTTCTTCAGATGAGTTCTTCTCATTATGAACTTTCTCTGAAAAAAATGATCCATCAAGTGGATTCGAAATCTTTGCTAAAATCTTTGAAATTTCTGTTAAAAATTCAACAAGAATAAAAATGAATGAAAATGCATCTATTTTTGCAAATGCCTAAATATGATGCATGAATATTAAGTTGTTTGATTTCAGACTGGTGAATTGAGTATTTCTTCAATTGTAAAAACCCAATATATCTGTCTTCTTCAAATCAAAGAATCTATTATCTTTGACAAATGTAGATGTACATATAATGTCACAAAACCTCTTGAAAATAAAACTCAATAGTATAAACTCTTGAAAAGCTTGCATTCAGGCAACATGTTGATTCTGATAACAACTCATCTGATTATGAAGTGACCTTTCAAGATGATTTCACAGATATCGATAGTTCTTTTAATACCGAGAAATCTTGAATTCTGATTCTGATGAGGAGAATAAACTGTTATACTTGACAAAAATGGGATTCTCATGGGCTGAAACTTCAATAGCCCTGGAGAAATGTGGTCCAGATTCATCAATTGCAGAATTGGCAAATTTTATATGTGCTGCTCAAATGAATAAGGCTGCTGATGCACTTCTTCTGGTAAAAAATAGGAAGTCATTATGCAATAATCCCAATTACAAGCAAAGGCGAAACTTGGGCTATGATTTTTGAAAAGGAAGAAGCAGAGGAAGCTTGAAAAGAAGCTTCTTAATGAAGATAATCATGCAGTTCATCTTTTAATTCCAATGATTGGTTCTGTAGTTCTTACCAGATCAAATAACTCAAAGAACACTTCCAGAAGATGCTATTGAGTATCCTTATTTTTACTATGAGCAAATTCATCTTCTAAACTCAATGATTGTTCTGTCCAACCAGATCAGATAACTCAAAGAACACTTCCAGAAGATGTTATTGGCAAATTCATCTTCCAAATTCAATGCTTGATTCTGTCCAATCAGATCAGATAACTCAAAGAACACTTCCAGAAGATGCTATTGGCAAATTCATCTTCTAAACTCAATGCTTGATTCTGTCCAATCAGATCAGATAACTCAAAGAACACTTCCAGAAGATGCTATTGGCAAATTCATCTTCTAAACTCAATGCTTGATTCTGTCCAATCAGATCAGATAACTCAAAGAACACTTCCAAAAGATGCTATAAGTATATTGCATTTATTCCAATTAAGGTTTGGACTGGGATATCACAGTACTTATTAGATGTAAAGCCAGAATTTGTAGATTCGAAGTATTTTCATGCTACTACACTGAAAAGGGCTATATTCATAATTCTGTCAATTGAAAACAGATTTTCTCTTATTCTGCTTCCTCCATGTGCTGATGCTTTTCCATTGACAAAGAAATGATGGCCTTCTTGGGATCCAAGAACAAAGTTGAACTGTTTATAAACATGTACAGTAAGTGCCAAATTGACAGAAAGGATCTGTAAGGCTCTTGAAGCTTATGACAATGAGCCACCTTCGAGTATCCAAAAGTATGTTCTTGATGAGTGCTGAAAATGGAATCTAGTATGGGTTGGAAGGAATAAAGTTGCTCCACTTGAACCTGATGAGGTGGAAATACTTCTAGGTTTCCTTAAAAACCATACACAAGAATCTGTATAGAGATATGTTTCTCAGTGATATCAATGTCTTGTTTCTTTTTGCTGGAATCAAAACTACAAAGGTTGCCTTCTACTGTCTTAGTATATCTTTGAAAACAGATGTGCAAGAACTGAATGGTGATCGGTTGGAGCAATTGATGAGTAGATTTGGCGGATTCGACCTTGTTGTCGGTAGCACCACTTGTAACAATCTTGATGTTCATGGCTTTAAGCTAGTGATGATTTGCCTACTTTGTATTCCATGTATTTAAAAGTATTAACATAAAGTGATATTCAGAAATCTTTAATTTATTTCAAAATTATGTTAATTCAATAGAAAAGAATAAATTGAATTTCCAAAAATAAATTGACTCTCAAATAAATTGAACTTGAAATAAATAGAATTGTATTCAAAATTTTGGCAAGCATAAGAATAATAAAAATTCAAATGTCTCAACAAATTATAAGCATAAGTATTTCTAAATTAATCAAGTTGACACAATTTAGAGTAATGATGTAAGCTTTTGTCTGGAAGATCTCAAACGTTGTCAAAATGCTTGTAGATGTGAAGTTTCTCCCAAACTGTCAAAATCTTAAGAGGGTTCAATTGTCAGATGCCTAATATCAACCTGCATTTGAGCCGCCTTTTCAGGTTTTCAACTCAAATCCTTCCTTTGGTTACAAGATGCCCTTTGCGGGTTTTCACCTTGACCCCCTTTTTCTTTTTTCCTTTTTTCTTTTTTTTTCTTTTTTTTTCTTTTTTTCCTCTTTTTTTTTCTTTCTTTTTCTTCAAGCATAATATCTCTTGACAGAATCCGAGTTTATTGGATTTTTCAGAATTTTTCCATCCATTTCTGCCAAGATCAACGCTCCTCCGGAAAAGGCCTTTTTCACAACGTATGGCCCTTCCCAATTAGGCATCCATTTCCCACGGAAATCTTTATGTATAGGCAAGATCTTTTTTAATACTAGATCACCCTCTTGGAATTCTCTTGGATGTACTTTTTTGTCATGAGACTTCATCATTCGTTTTTGATACATCTGTCCATGGCAAACAGCTTTCAATCTTTTCTCCTCAATAAGGTTCAATTGATCAAATCTAGATTGGATCCATTCAGATTCATCCAATTTTATTTCTCTCAATATTCGAAGCGATGGAATCTCAACTTCAATTGGTAAGACTGCTTCCATCCCATAGACTAAAGAAAAAGGCGTTGCCCCAGTAGATGTTCGAACAGTAGTTCGGTATGCATATAGAGCAAAAGGTAACTTTTCGTGCCAATCTTTGTAAGTTTCAGTGGTCTTTGTAATGATTCTCTTGATGTTCTTATTTGCTGCTTCAACTGCCCCATTCATCTTCGGACGATATGCCACTGAATTTGCATGTTTGATCTTAAACTGTGCACAAAGTTCGGTCATCATTTTGTTGTTCAGGTTCAGAGCATTATCTGTAATGATCCTTTCTGGTAGGCCATACCGGCAAACTATCTCTTTCTTTATGAATTTACAGACTGTGGACTTCTTAATATTGGCATATGAAGCAGCTTCGACCCATTTGGTAAAATAATCAATTGCCACAAGGATGAAACAATGTCCATTCGATGCTTTTGGTGTGATTTCTCCAATGACATCTATTCCCCACATAGAAAATGGCCAGGGTGCTGTCATTACATATAACGGAGATGGGGGTACATGAATCTTGTCTGCATATATCTGGCATTTATGACATTTCCTTGCATAATCAATGCAATCTGTGTACATGGTATCCCAATAGTATCCATATCTCATTATTTTTCTGGCCATGGAAAGGCCATTTGCATGTGTTCCACATATTCCACTGTGTACTTCTTCAATAACATTTCGAGCTTCACTGGTATTTAAACATCTCAATAGCATTTGATCACTGCTTCTTCTATACATAATCTCTCCATCAAGAAAATATCCAGCAGCCATTCTTCTCAAAGTTCTTTTATCAATTTCCGATGCATTTGGTGGATAACTTTGATTTTTGATATATTGCAGGATATCATGATACCATGGTTTACCATCTACCTCTTCTTCCACATTATAACAATGTGCAGGAATTTCATATACTTGCATTTTGATTAGCATCATATCAACCTTCTTAGTTGCTTGAAACATAGCAGCTAATGTAGCCAAAGCATCTGCCATTTGATTTTCTTCTCGAGGGAGATAATTGAAGGTAACTTTCTCAAATTCCTTCACTAATTCAAGGGTAAAATTTCTGTATTCCAACAATTTGGGATCTTTTGTTTCCCATTCTCCTCGCAATTGATACACCACCAAAGATGAATCTCCATATATCTTGAGAAATTTGATTTTTCTTTCTATAGCTGCTTTCAATCCCATGACACAAGCTTCATATTCCGCCATGTTATTGGTGCAAAAGAACTCCAGTCTACTTGTAAAGGGATAATAAACATTTTCTGGAGAAATTAACACTGCCCCAATTCCTCGTCCCAAAGCATTAGATGCTCCGTCAAAATAAAGCTTCCAAGTTGCAAATTCATCATTTGTTCTGACTTCTTCATTCATGGATATGCACAACAGATCTTCATCGGGAAAATTAAAGTTCAAAGGCTGATAATCATTTGATACACGACTGGCCAGAAAATCAGCTATGACACTTCCTTTTATCGCTTTTTGGTTGACATATACAATATCAAACTCAGATAATAACATCTGCCATCTAGCCATTCTGCCTGTCAAAGCTGGTGATTCCATTAAGAACTTTAAAGGATCAAGTTTGGATATCAACCAAGTAGTATGGTATAACATATATTGTCTGAGTCTTCGAGTAGCCCACACCAAAGCACAACATAATTTTTGTATTGGTGGATATCGAACTTCACAATCAGTAAATTTCTTGCTCAGATAATAAATAGCTTTTTCTTTCCTTCCTGATTCATCATGCTGTCCTAGTACACATCCCATCGAATTTTCGAAGACCGTCAAGTAGAGAATTAATGGTCTATCAGGCATTGGTGATACTAAAATGGGGGCATTGGATAAATATTTCTTAATAATATCCAAAGTTTCTTGACATTCTTCATTCCAGACTTCAGGATTGTTCTTTCGAAGTAATTTGAACACTGGATCACATTTGTCAGTTAATTGAGAAATGAACCGAGATATATAATTTAATCTTCCCAAAAATCCTCGAATTTCTTTTTTTGTATTGGGTGGTGGAAGATCTTGAATTGCTTTGACTTTATCTGGATCAATCTCGATTCCTTTTTTGCTGACCACAAATCCCAAAAGTTTTCCAGAAGTTACCCCAAAAGTGCATTTTGCGGGGTTGAGCTTTAATTGATATCTCCTCAATCTCTGGAAAAGCTTTCTCAGATTTTGAATATGTTCTTCTTCAGTTCGGGATTTGGAAATCATGTCATCTACATATACTTCAATCTCTTTGTACATCATGTCATGAAACAAAGTTACCATGGCTCTTTGATACGTTGCCCCTGCATTTTTCAATCCAAATGGCATCACTTTATAACAGAATGTGCCCCACATGGTTATAAATGTCGTCTTTTCCATGTCTTCAGGATTCATTTTTATCTGATTATATCCTGAAAATCCATCCATAAATGAAAACCATGCGTGCCATGCAGTATTGTCCACCAATGTGTCTATGTGGGGTAAGGGAAAGCTATCTTTCGGACTAGCTTTGTTGAGATCTCTGTAATCCACACACATTCGAACTTTTCCATTTTTCTTTGGTACGGGAACAATGTTGGCTACCCATTCTGGGTATTTAGATGCCTGTAGGAAACCTGCATTGATTTGTTTCAACACTTCTTCTTTGATTTGCAACAACATTTCTGGCCTCATTCGTCTGAGCTTTTGTTGGATTGGTTTATATTCTGGATTTATTGGAAGCTTGTGTATTACTATATCTGTGCTTAAACCGGGCATATCTTGATAAGACCATGCAAAGATATCTTTGAACTCTTGAAGGAGATTTATCAATTCTTGTTTTATCTGGACTGTCAGAGTGGTACCAATTTTCACCTCTTTTATTTCTTCATCTGTTCCCAAATTCACAGTCTCAACCTCTTCTTTGTGGGGTAGAATTTGTTTGTCTTCTTTTTCTACCAATCTTAATAGTTCAGTAGGAATATCACATTCCAGTTCATCCTCACAACCATTGATTTCTTCCAGACATATAGGATGCTCTAAATTTATCACTGGATTAAATTTAGGAATACACATGCTATTAACACGGTGACACCTGCAAATTTAAGTCGGACATATTTCCGAAAGAATATAGTAAATTTATGAAATGTAAAAATGTAATAAAATGTAAAGAATGATTGCCATCTGAAAATTTTAAAGAAAATTTCTTATATTTAACATAATTTCTTTTACAAGATAACAAAAAAGTTTTCATATTTTTGAGCTAAACATAAAGATTAGTTCTGAATATTACTCTGTATTAATATTAAAAACTATAGGAAGATCTTCAGTGGTCCAATTGGTGAGTGTTTCTCCAGGAAGACATGGGCGAATCCTATCCAAGTATTTGCCAGTTTTGCTGTTATTCATGATCATGTTGACAAATAATCCATTCATAGCTTTTTCAACTATGTCTTGATCTTTCGTCAACTTTTCTTGTTTAAAGGCTTCAACAAGCTGCTGTTCTACATTAATTGTTCCCCCTGATCTGAATGTGGTCTTCAACTGTGGGAAAGACAAAGTGTTTCCAAAGGATTTCTCCCCCTTTCAATTTTGCCTTTCTGTCTTCACATCTTCTTTGCATCTCTTTGTTCTTTTGCTGAAGATTGGGCTTAAACCCTAGCCCAAAACGGTCTTTTTTCATCTTTATTCTGATAGGAAGTGAAATCCCTTGAAGATTCTTTCCTAGACCTCTCCCAGCTTTAGCTCCGATGCCTAAAGTTTGTTGTACCGTCATCTTGGTGCAATCAGACAATCTGGGATATGGGATTTTGCTTCCTTCTGCAATAAAGGTTGCATTTACAAATTCAAGAGCTCGAAAAGAGCATTCAAGAGCCTCATCATTGGTGTCGATATATAGAATATCGCTTGTTACAGACGCAATGATTTCTTCTTCAGCACTGACGCATATTAGTTGTCCATCAACAACAAATTTCAATTTTTGATGTAATGAAGAAGGAACGGCTCCTGCTGAATGAATCCATGGCCTCCCTAATAGACAATTATATGTGGGGTGGATGTCCATTACCACAAAGTCAATATTGTACACGACTGGGCCAATTAACAACGGTATTTCCATTTTCCCAAGCACTTCTTTTTGAGTACCATCAAATGCTCGCACTACATTCTGATAACTCTTCATGTGTGATTGATCCAGAGGCATTCTTTGAAGTGTGACTAGAGGCATCAAGTTGAGAGCGGATCCATTGTCAATCAATACTCCTGGCAACACATGACCATGACAATGTGTCGTGATGTTCAAAGCTTTTACTGACCCCATTCCGCCTTCCGGTATTTCATCATCTGTGAACGTTATGTAATTGTCAGCGGCTATATGTCCCACAATTCTGTCAAGTTTATTGAGGGATATATCTTCGGGGATAAATGTTTGATTGAGGATTTTCATCAAAGCATTTCTATGTGCTTCTGAATTCATCAAGAGATCAAGAATAGAAATTCTCGCTTGTTGTTTGTGTAGTTGTTCAACCACACTATACTCACTATGTTTCAAAAATTTCAAAAATTCTTGAGCTTGTTTTTCTGTCACATGTTCATTAAATGCTGGAAGGGATTCATCCTCAAATACCTTCTGAGGTATTGCCATGGCTTTTCCTTTGGCTTTCACTTGTTCTGAAGCATGGGATGTTTCGGGAGAGTAACATCTCCCACTTCTTGTAAAGAAACCGACCTCGCTCACTGCTTCAGACGTCGATGTGGTACTCAGACTTTGTATTTTCTCTTCTGTTTTTTCTAGAGAAACAGATCCTCCTACCATTGAAACATTGGTAGTATAATTCCAAGGTACCCTGCGGGTATCTTTGTATGGAAATGGTAGAGGAGTGGTAATAACTACTTTCGGCTTTATTGGTGCAGGAATCGCCGTAGATGATTTTACATTAATGATCAAAGGATCATTTATTCTTTGACTTGGTTTAGAATCCTCTGATGAGCAAACATCATCTTCTTTTTTTTCTGGTTCTTCTTCAAAGAATTCTATTTCTCTGTTGTTCATCAATTTTTGCACCAAATCCCTAAACTCAGGACATAGTTGAATTTTATGCCCTTTCTCCTGATGATATTCACAATAATTCTTGCCTTCATTCTGCTTTGGCCTGAATTGTTGTGGAATTATACCGGCTAAAGAGAGTTGTTGGAATACCCAAACAAACGGAGATTTAATTTCAGAAATGTCAGTCTTTGTTTTCTTTCTGTTCTCTTCCTGAATTGCATTTACGTTTTTATCTCCATGATTTGGCAATGGATGATTTGATGCAGATGGTGTATTGAATTCCAACTTCCCAGTGTTGATCAAATTTTGAACCACCATTTTGAATGCTAAACAGTTTTCAATGGAATGACCCGTAATTCCTTCATGGAAAACACAGTGTGCCTTTGTATTATACCAAGGAGGGAATGGTGGTTGCATGGGAACCAAGGGATAAGGCCGTATAACATCTGCTTTTAACAGTGAATCATAGATCTCTGCATACGGTACTGGTAAAGGTGTAAAAGACAACCTTTCATTTTCCTTTCGAGATCCTCTGGACTCTGCTCGATTAGTGTTTGTTTCCTCTTTCTTAACCCTTGGCTGGGTTATTGTAACACTTTTCGATGAATCTTTGCTGTAAGAATTTGCATTGTTTACTTCATTCTCCTTTTTCCGGTATGTAGGTCTTTTGGAACTAGACCCATCATTCGATTCAATCTTGCCGCTTTTCAAGACATTTTCAATTAGTTCTCCAGAAATGACTAAATCTGCAAAATTTCTGGTTGCATTTCCCATTAGATGATTTAAATAAGGAGCCTTCAATGTATGAACAAATATTACTGTGGCCTCTTTTTCTGACAAAGGTGGTTGAACTTGAGCCGCAGTGTCACGCCATCTCTGGGCATACTGTCTGAATGTTTCATTATTCTTTTTCTCCAAGTTTTGGAGAGTCCATCTATCAGGGACCATGTTTGTCACATGGCGGTACTGCTCTAAAAATGCTTTAGCCAGATCTTTCCTGGATCTAATGTTGGCTTTGGTCAATTGAGTATACCATTTTAAAGCCGGTCCTGTCAAACTATCCTGAAAGCAGTGAATTAACAATTTCTCGTCCTTCACATATCCTGCCATTCTACGACAAAACATAGTAATGTGGGATGAAGGGCATGTAGTACCATCATATTTATCAAATTCAGGAGCTTTGAACTTGATGGGGAGGATTAAGTCTGGAACCAAACTCAACTCACTAGCGTCAAACCCATAGAATGATTTAGTTATTTCCACGGATTTCATTCGTTCTTCTAAGTTCTTGATCTGTCTGGTCAGTTCTTCATTTACTTTTTGTTTCTCATTCAGCTCATTCAAATCCGGGATCAAATGATCAGTATTAAGATCCCCTATTTTCACATCTGATATAAGCGGATTTTTGCTTGAAGATGCAGGATCCACTTGTTGATCTTCATGTGGTTTGACTTCTTGTAATGCAGATGTACGAGCATTGATTTGTATAGGTGTAGTACCAGAATGATAAATTGGTTCTGGTGGAAAACCTAGAGGATACATAGGATCTTGGTCAAAAGATACAGGATTTTCATGCATTTTTCCACTGATAGCCTGCCTTTTAAACATATCCTCTATTTTCTTCATCATAGTGTCTTGTGAATTTGCAATACTAGCTTCAATTTTTTCCAACTTCATTCTCATTTCTTCTTGTTCTTTATGATGCTGTTCCTCAATACGCTGTATTTTATCCTCCATAATTCTCTTAGTAGCTTGTCTAGTACCGTAGTGATGTAGTATTTCTTTTTTGGCCAGAGTAACTGCGATTGAAAAATCTTTTAATATTATTTTTTCAAATTTTAATTAATGAATTTTAACTTAATAAAATAATAATAATTCATAGCGAAAATTATGAAATGAATGATGAATGTATGCAAAATGCATGTATGTAAAAAACATTGATCCCAAAAAGTTAACTGTCATAGAACAACTTTCATTGGCATACAAAAGTTTCTTTATAATAGTTCATAACTACATATAAGGCATAGCTTTCCTATTAAGCTCTATAATTTCTTTCATTAACCATGACACCTTCTTTCCACATCTAGAAACTGGATCAACTTGATGCTCAATTATTTTGGCTTCAACAGCTAGTTCCCCAACATATCTGGCAACTTCGCTCATTTGAACCATGGCCTCGAACACCATATTACTTCTTTCTTCACTTCTTTCCACATAGAACTCAGTTGACTTTTGCCACTGTTCATTCATTTCTCCAAGAGTTTGCTCTAACTCAGTGATTCTGACTTGACAATTGTGCAGAATTTTTTCAAGATCTCTAATGCGTCTTCGCAGTGAAGCATTTTCCTCATTACTTTCTTTGAGGTCATTAGGCCCTAGACGAACCTTTTCTTGAAACAACAATTCCTCAAGTTGCAAAATGTAAGCATTAAACTCTGAGTTTTTGTTTCTAGACTGATCCAGATCCTCTTCAAGCTTTGTTCGTGCTTCTTGCGTTCTTTGATTAAGCTTCTGGATTTGAACATCTTTGTTTCTGCATCTTTGCATCCAATTGCTAGCCACTTCCTGCTCTACCTCAAGTCTGGTGTTGAAATTTTTTCTTTCCAGCTCCCATTTTTCTTTTTCAATATTGGATTCTTCCATCTTTTGGCCTCTGACTTCAAGTTCAGTAATCAACTAGTTCATTTCAGATTCGAATCCCTTGAACATGATATTTTTCTCACCTTCAAATTTACTAAAGATGTCATTCTTCATTTCTTCTAAATCTTTGGCTCGATCCCTTTCTCTTTGCATTTCATTCATGATCTCACGGTGTTCAGCCTTGTGTCTTATAATTCGCTCTCTTCTGTCGACCTCAAAATCTTCCATTTTTTGCTTTCCTTTCTCAAGGCTTTTGAGTAGACGGCTATTCTTTCCTTTCAGATCTTCAACTCGTCTTTTCTCGATATTCAATTCTCTGGTCATCTGTACCGTCGATTGGTTGGGTCCTGATGCTTTTCGGGATTTATATAACTCCTGGTAATTTTTCTGTAAGGCTCTGTACTCATCCTCACCTTTTTCTTTATCTTTTTTCAACATTGCACATTGTGATGAATGAAAGTCAATGTCAACCCCCAACATAGCTTTATCTTGTCTCATTTGCTCTAACTCTTTCGACCAGCTTTCTCTTTCTGCTTCAAACTCAGCTCTCAAGATTTCAATCTCTGATGGAACCACCTTAATGCGATCTTCCATAGAAATATCCTCATTTTGATCTGGTAGAGGAATATTTTCGTTTTTTCTGACAGATCTCCATTCTTCATAATCAGGAGTTAGCATTTCTTTTGCTGCTTTAGCTCGGATACAAAAAGTTGTTTTCCAAGCTGTAACGGCTTCCATGATACTTCTTTTATAATTTTTGCTGTGGAATGCGAATTCAGATGACTGTAACCCAGCAGTGATAGGTACAAATTGACGACCTTCATACTGTCTTATAACCAGAAGTGGTGCATATCCAATTCCTCCCCATAATCCAAGCAGCATTATCCAATTGTAATCACCACATCTGTAAAAGAATTCCCTTTGGATTTGCCACGGGGCGCGCCAAACTACGTCATTGCTTTGCAGATTTCGAAAGGCATTAATCCACATATCTTTCTTAATTTCTTTCGGCCATTCCTGCTCCAGAAATTCTTTTAATGGTGAGTAATCCGTATTAAAACGTCGGTATGAAATCTTTTCTGTCCTCCAGAAATGGCTACGGACCCAAACATATAACAACTGGGTACACCCTGAGAATCGTCCACCTCCTAACTTTCTACAAGCATTTAACGATCTGAAGGTCTCTGCTAGAATTGCAGAAGCAGGATTAATCTTTTTCGGTAGCTGTTCAAACAAATCTACCACTGCAGCTTCAACATATCCCAATACTTTTGGGAAGATGACCATACCATATATACCCAGAGCAAATAAATCGAATCGTACTTTAGAGTCTGGATGGCTCTGAATAAGTTCTTTAATGTTGGTCCAAGCAATGCCTTCGCTTTCGCCTTTTTGTTTTGTACGGGCTGCTACCCATTCTTCTCGTACCCCGGCAATCTTTGCTAATTTAACTCGAAAGGGTTGAGTTTTAATTGACTTTGAATAGATTCGATTATCCAAAGCCCCTTCGATATGTAACAAAGTTGTGTATTCTTCAATAGTAGGGACCAAGTCTTCCTTATTGAGAGTGAAGCAATTGTACCCTGGATTCCAGAATTGAATTAGGGCTCGGAGTAATTCATCATCAACTTCAACATAGAGCAAATATGGGATATCTCCGTAAGTCTGATAAAACTGCAATTTTTTGTTTGAATCCCAACTTTCCCAAATGCTTCGCAAATCTTGCATATCATTTCTTTTTAGTGAAACTGAAACATAACTGGCCAAATCAGATACATAATCATCCTGCAGACTGTCTCCTTCTTGTCTTTGTAAATCCTCATCCCACTGTCTTACTTCTGAGTTTAGAATTACTTGACTTGAACACTTTTTATCCATAGATGAAGGCTTTCCAATGAGACAATTAACACAAGGATCAATGTCTTTTATCCTGTATGATGCTATGCAAACAGAAAAATAAAGAACACACAAAAAGAAAATAAATTAGTTTACATAATAAAAAATTCAATAGTAACATTTACATAAATATTCTTTATTTAAACATGCTTTTATGAATTTAAATAATTTAAATAAACATGTAATTTAAACAATAAATAAATTAACAGGAAAGTCAGAATTCATTTCTCCTGTGTGTACACCTATTTTGGACAAAATTTCGGCATGACTTCTGATTGGAAGAGTTTCTAAGGTTCTTTATATGCAAGGTTTCAGATCTAAGAATCAAGGTACCCGAATTGTCCTTGTTAGTGCCCCCTTGGGTTGCTAACCCTCAATCCTAGTCCATCACAGACTAAAGTGGATCGAGTTCAATTCGAGGGGATACATTTCTCTATGCCTGACACGGAGAATAAATTCTCATGAAGACAGAGAGCATATGAACCCCGGAAGTTACTTGCTAGGTCTGACACGGAGAATAAATTCTCACGAAGACGTCGCTTTCACTCCCACTTAACAGGGACAACTCAATTATAGAGCTTTATGTTATGCAATGCAAGTGTTGTGTGTGAGGAGAAATATTCATACCTCTGACAAAATAAATAATGAAATAAAATACTTATAAATAAAACATGTAAATATTATGAAAATAATAAGTAAATATAAAAATTTTGAAAAGAAAGAATTAAAAATTAAATATATAAATTTTTAATTTTTAATTTTTAATTTTTAATTAATAGAGACAAATTATAATTGATTTTTAAAAGTTTGACCAGCGTTCCCAGTGGAGCCGCCAAGCTGTCGTAACCGGTTTTCGTCCGGGCACGAAATATTTATTTTGGCGGGGAAATTGATGTGAATAAATAGTTTTGAAAATAATTTGGGAGTCGCCATCGGCCTTTTGGGTCAGGTAGGTCGAATACCTAAAAAATATCTTTTAAAAGAGTTTTTAAGAAAACATCAATTAAAAGATAAACTGATCTGCGTTTTAACCAAAAATTCGTTCTTTTTAATAATAAAAAGGGATTCGTGGTCGGTTACGTTTAGGGAAGGATTAGCACCCCTACAACGCCCAAAATTGGTACTTTTTAATTATAAATTGTCTCTATTATTAAAATTTTAAAAATTCAAAAATATATTTAATTTATAATTCTATTATTTCAAAATTATAAAAAAATATTTTAAAAATATTAGAAAAGAACTTCTAGGTGCCTTAAGACAGCTATTTTCTTTGATATTGATAAATATTAATTTAAATAATATTGTTTACTTTTAAATTTTAAAATATCAGAATAGGACATCCAGTTGTATTAAGACTGTCCTTTTCTTCGATATTAAAAATAAATATTTAAAAATTACTATTTATTATATATATATTTATGAATATATAAAAATATTTAATAATATAATATAATAAAAAAATACTATTAAAACAATATATTTAAAAACAATAAAATAAATGAAGACATATAAAATAACGGACTAAATTATAGTAAAAATAAAATTAAAAATCTAATTCATAATTAATCAAAATTATAGGTATTAAATATGTTATTTCTTTATTTAATAATTTAGTGACTAAAATAAAATGATCTAAAATTCGGATATTATAATAAAATAAATTAAAAATATAAACTAAGGATTAAAATATTATTTATTAAAATTAAGGGATTAAATCTGCTATTTATCCTAAATATATTATTTTAATATAAAGGACTAAAATGAATAAAATTAAAATTAAAGAACCAAATTAAAAGGATTATAAATTTGATTTAGTGACTAAAATGTAAAGTTTACAAATTGGGATGACTGCGGACGTGGTTTAACTATTCTATAATTACGTGCATAGTCCTTCCCGAAACGACGTCGTTCGAGAAGGCCTATATATGGTCCAAAACCGGCTGGCCCGAAGGGCCAGCTTTCATTTTTTCATTTCTGTTCTCTCTCTAACTGAGAGAGAACAAATTTCTCTGCCTTCTCTCTAGCTTCCCTCATCGGAGGGAAGCCGGTCACCGGTCGGCCACCGTGTGCCGCCGTGAATGCAACCACCGGCCACCGTATTTGGTGGCCGGAAAAATTTATTTTCACCCTAATAGATAGATCGGACCGTCCTTAGGACGGTCCCTGTGTTCTTTTCCCTTAAAAAGCTCCTAATCGGAGCGAATCTACAAAAAATACCTTCGATATTTCGAAGGTTCTGATGAGATCCGGTGGTCGAGGCTTCTTCGGTAAGTTTCTTTCCTTCCTTTTCCTTCTGTTTTTGGTTGCTGGATGTTTAACTGAGATCGTTGGTTTAGTAGTTTTTTTTTCTTTCTCTGTTTTTTTTTTTTTGTCTTCCTTCTCCGTTCTCTGTCTCTGTCTATGTCTCTTTTTTTTTTCAGGTTGGGGTGGTGGCTTTTATAGCCACCACCGTTGTAGCCGTCGGACCGGTCCGAAGAATGCCCTTTGGTGAGTCACCAGACTCCCAGTGGTGACTCACCGTTTGGGGGAGACGTGTGCGGCTACGGCCGGCCTTCTGGACTCTTTGGTAGACGTGGTGGAGGCTGGAACGTTGGTGTGGCGGTGAAGGCTTCTGGAATCAGCAGCGGCGGCGCTGGGACGTGTCCCTAGGGTATAGATACCCTAGGGTTTCCTCTGGCAAACTGTGGACCGTTGGATCAAACCAGATCCAACGGCTGGAATTGAAGATGGCGGCTGGTTTAGATTAGGGTTAGGAAACCCTAACTGGAAACCCAAATGTTTAGAATTTCTGGTTTGATTTGGACCGGTTCTGGTTTGTTTGTAACTGGGCCGATCCAGTTGTAATTGGTCTGTAATTATTATTTATATATATATATGTTTAATATATTTAATAATAATAATAATAATAATAATAATAATAGTAATAATAATAATAATAATAATAATAATATTAATAATAATAATATGGATAAAAAATTAATATCTTCACTAGCTTCTTGGACAAGGCAGCCATTGTTGCCGAAGGCGATTTCGAAAGAAACGTCGTTTCAGCTCCGAATCCATGGAAACTTTGTTCAGTCAGAAGGGTGGGGGAAGTGAAAATGATGGTGGGACTCATGCCAGTATGGGCCACAACCATCCTATTTTGGACCACTTATGCACAGATGATCACTTTCTCTGTTGAGCAAGCCTCCGCCATGGAAAGGAGGTTTCCTGATCCCCGCCGGTTCCCTCACTGTCTTCTTCGTTGCAGCGATATTGATCACCCTCGCCGTATACCACCGTCTCATCATGCCGACCTGGAAGAAATGGAAGGGAAAACCAGGTTTCACCAACCAACAGAGAATCTCCATAGGCCTAGTCCTATCAACATTCGGCATGGCAGCTGCCGCACTGGCAGAGAAGAAACGACTCGAGGTGGAAAAAACCGCCGGAGCTGCAGCCAGGACTACAACAATAACGCTGCCTATAAGCGTTTTCTTCCTGATCCCACAGTTCTTACTAGTGGGAGCCGGTGAGGCCTTCATATACACAGGCCAACTCGATTTCTTCATCACTCAATCACCCAAAGGAATGAAAACCATGAGCACCGATCTCTTCCTAACAACACTATCGTTGGGTTTCTTCGTTAGTAGCTTCTTGGTATCGGTGGTGAAAAGAGTCACCGGAGGAAGCAACGGCGGACAAGGGTGGCTGGCTGATAACATAAACCATGGAGACTTGATCTTTTATATGGACTTTTAGCAGTTCTGGGGATCATTAATTTTGAACTGTATATTGTTTGTGCTATGTGGTATAAACCAAGGAACCAGAAACCTGGTAATCTGCAGATGGAAAGCCACTGTTAATGGCTCATCTGCTGAGAATAAGTGGTAGGGTTTTCTTTATAAACACTGCATGATAGATTGTTATTGTCGTCGTTGTAGATCAAGAACTGGTTTCTCTTGTTGTTTTCTTTACAATCAATGGAGAATCATGATTTCTGTTCATGTATGATCGATTTAGCCAACAGTCAAAGATAGGATTAGCCTATATGTAAGACAGGGTTATAATATGTTATAGTGGGAGATGAATTTTCAATAAAAATTAATATTTTAAAAAAACTCACTCATCCTGACCAGCTCTAATGAAAAATTTCTCGAAAACTCATATTTTTGGCATCTTTTTATTGAGTTCATATCGTTGAGTTTACCGTCTATTCTAATCGCTTAAGATTACAAAAAAGTTTCTCCGGATTATATTTTCTTTATTTTTTTCTCACATGCATTATTCCTCTAAAAAAATCAATTTATTAAATTAATATTCAAATTCAATTAATTATCAAAAATATATCTAACCAATAAATCTCGTAATATAGTTAACCCATCAAGTGATCTCAATAATAAAGAAATGTTATAATCTGTTTTTATTTACATTTTCTTAAAAAATAAAAAAGATGGAGGAAAACGTATTTGGCTGTAAAATTAGAAAATATTTTTTGGAAAATGAAAATAAAAATAAGTGAAAATATAAAAACATAAAAAAATATGTTTTCAAAATTTTCATTAAAATTATTTTGAAAATTTGAAAAATAAGGAATTATGATATCTAGATTTTTAACTTAATTTACACAAGTTAAATCATTCTAACAATATTTTTTTGATGTAATGATATTTGGAACCCTCAAACTTTTATAAAAAAACAATATGATCCCTAAACCTTTTTTACACTCAATGTAGTCCTTAAATTAAATTTTTTTAATAATTTAATTTTGTAGTATTTTTATATTTAATGTATTGACTATCTTAATAATTATTTATATTTTTAATCTAAATAATTTTTTAATTTTTAAAAATTAAATTAGTCCTCAAATTTTCTAAAATAATTAATTAAGTCCATTTACCACATCATCATCCATCGAGTATTGCCACATCAGTATCTTGAACTACCACATCATTATTTTATATTACCATGTAAGTTTGTGAATTGTCATATAAGCGTCATGACGATCAACATTTGATTTTGCCATTTAAAGAGTTAAATTATTTTTTTTTTAATTTTAAGGATAATATTTGGTACAAAAAACGTTTAGGGACTATACCAATTTTTTTTCTCAAAAAATTGGGGTTACCACTAAACATATTTTTTATGTTAATGACACTTTTATGTGCTATTGCTTATAATAATATTTTTTATATATTTTAAATTTAATTGATGTTCAATATGAATCAACATTATATTCTTTTATAAATTAAAATAAATTGTGTTATAAATTTTTTTTATCAATTTTATTGTTTTATATTTACATAACTCACATGTTAAATTTATGTAATGAATTTTTTAATAATTATAGTTTAATTTAATTATTTAATAACTATTTGTTTATTTCTATTTATGCATTTTCACTATTTTAGTTTTAAATTCAAGTTTTCATTTATGAATTCAAGTTTTCATTTATACTTACCAAACGTGTTTTCTAATTTTCAAAAAAATGAAAACGAAAATTATTTTCTGAAAACAAAAACAGAAAATGAAAATAGAAAATAATTTTTTAAAGGTCTTAAATTCGAACAATTACATTTAAAAGGTATGTATATTATCAACTAGTTAAAAGAATTCTAAGAAGATACCATCCTATAATTACCTAAAACTAATAAAAAAAACAGAAAAACCTTGTGACAACTGGAGATATATTATATATAAAAATATTACGAAGAGATTATATAAAATAAAGAGACTTGACCTAGTGTTGGACATTAATTCATTTGCTTTTAAAAGAAAAATACATGATGGCACATATTATTGGTGAATGCATAATCTAGATTTTAATGAGGGAAATTAAACCCTCAGAATGGTACATACACAATAACACACTAGGGAAAGTCATTTCTAGGATTAAATTGAGTCTGCAGGAATAGGAAATTTCCACCCTCAGAATTCAAGCCCATCCGTTTCCTCTTCCATTGTAATTCTGCCCTCTAGAATCTGACGATGAACTAGGGAAAACATAGCTTGATCTCTTCTTCTTCTTAATACTATTCCATGTAATTATTCCTTCATTCCATAAACTTCCTCCACCATGATGCTCAGATCTTTCGACCCGATATTCGGGTTTCTTTGGAGCTGATGAACCATAGGTAGTATCTTCACTTGTTCCTTCACTTACGGCTGCCATATTGTCATTCCGGAAGTCTACTCCTATGTTATTACTACCCAGCTCATTGCTCTCATCGACTGGAAAATGGTCTTTTCTCCTCCTTTTGCTCGGTAACTTCTTTTCCATGTCTTCTTCATTCTCCACGGCCCTCATGAACTGTAAGTCGCTCATCGTATCTGGGTAATAGTTTCCGTCCCTTCTTTTTCGCTTCCCTAATTCAACATTGCTTTCGAAAGCTTTGCCCTTCCTATCATCATCGTTAAGTACAAACACCCACTCGGGTACCTCATGGTCTTCCATGAGACGAGACCGATAATTCTCCTTCGCTCTTCTTTCCTCGTCCATTTTCTCAAACAATCGGAACTCGTCATCTGAGCGAGCTGCGAGTCGGTTGATTTCCCTCTCACTTGGAACATCTGTTCCAAGCGAACTTGTTCCTCTCCGCATAATTTCTACCAGCATTTCTTTTCTGTCCTGAGCTGCATAAGTGAAGATGATCATGTTAGCATGGTATTGAATTTACTCGAACAGGAACAATATCAAAACAAAAGAGAAGAGTTGTTGTCATGTGATAGATGAAAATAAAAATTGCTTTGACTCCGACGAACTCCAACCCATTCAAATGGTTTATATTTCACAGAGAGAACAATAAACATGGCTTAACAAATTAGATGGTAAAAACATGTATGATATGACAGAAACAAAACTAAGTTGTGTTAAATGTCAAAGGTGAGGGGATAGCAGTTGCTTCGACATTCCCCGGTGTTTTACTGTCCCACCTATATGCATACACATGCGCGCACACAGTCACGAAACCATACACACCGTGCAAACACATAAATATCCAACAATACCCTGTGGATCTTGCAACTGCTGATTATCAAATATAACACGACAGAACTGAGGAAACTTTCCTTATTCTAACTCAAGACAAGCTGATTTTTGTGTTACATGCATTACACAGATAAAATCAATTCAAGCAAAACAGACCTGTGGAAGTTGTATTAAACAATCCAGCCTGGATGACCTTAGCATCAATACCCATCTTCTGCTTTGCACGCTCCAAAATAACCTCTTCAATTGATCCGACACTAACCAGCACAAAAACCTTGACTTCCTTCTTCTGTCCTATTCGATGGGCTCTATCCTCTGCCTGCTGGTCCATTTGGGGGTTCCAGTCACTATCAAAAATTATTACGGTGTCGGCTGTCTGCAAGTTCAGCCCAAGACCTCCAGCACGAGTGCTTAATAGAAACATAAAATAAGGAGAGTCTGGAGCATTGAACTTCTTGAGCAAAGTGCCTCTTTCCTCTGTTTTTGTTGAACCATCAAGTCTAAGATACATAAAATGGTTGAGTCTCAGATATATTTCAAGAATGTTCATGAGATGAGTCATTTGGGAGAAGAGCAGGACACGGTGGCCGGTTCTGTGCAGTTTTGGGAGCAACCTATCAAGGAGCTCGAACTTCCCTGATGCTCTAACGATCTCCTCTTTCTGCCACATATTGTGGGTAGGCACAAAGAGATATGGGTGGTTACAACACTTCCTCAATTGCATCGTCAGGTTCTGGAGGCTCTTTGATTTACCAGACCCTACAAAAATTTAGACTTATTAACCAATTGGCAACTATTTCTGCTTTCCTGTTCCAGTAAGATAATACTACCACTAAGCAGGAAACAATATAAAGCAGTTCAAATGAACTCAAATTTGAAAGAGTCCAAGATTAAAACTCGAGTAGTATAAAACTGATAAAAGGATATGGAAAGGATCAGAGAAGATTGATACAACTCGGAGCATTAAGAAGCATAATACTGTAACTCAGCTGCCTTTGAGAAGGTTGTATGGTAGATAGGGTAACTCACATAGCACATTTGTACTCCACCCCTCAATGTTTTTTTCATAAAATGTCAGTAACTAGAAACTAGTCACTTAGCAGTTTGGAAACAATGTGAATCCCATTAAATTAATACTTACTACAAAAAGAACATACCACGTTAAGAAAACCCCAGCCTAACAAATATGATTCAAATAACGCAAAGTACAGATTTTTGACAAATAGATCATGCAATGAAAAACCATCAAAATAGCTTTGATCGCATAAAAATAGAATCTACAAACCGTTGTCTAGCCCGACCCTGCCCTTTTCTGTTACTTGCTGATAGTATGCTTTCTGCCATGCTGACAAATCACATTTGAGTATAACCTGGGATTTTCCAGGAAGGTATTTTTCCACCTCATCTTTTTTTCTCCTTAAGATGAACGGCCTTATAACCTGACAATCAAGGAATTTTATTCAATATTAAGAAGTCTAAGGACAGATAAGACAGTTTGAAACTAATGTATACCTACTTGGTGGAGACGACGAATAATCAAGAGTTGTTCTTCATCAGTAAGAGAAACGTCACCACGATCTGCAAATGGTGCATTAAACCACTCCTCGAAATTCTGAACTGAATTGAAAATGTTTGGGAGCAGAAAGTTAAGGAGGGACCACAATTCTTGTAAACTATTTTGAATAGGGGTCCCAGTTAACAGAAGTCTCCGCTGGATCTGATAGCTGCACGAAAGTGAAATTTCCATTACAACAGCCTTTCCAATTCTCTTTCAAAGACCTAATCTAAAATATAAGATGACATTCTTTTTTTTCTTTTTCTTTTTTATTGAAGAAATTAAACCTATCTATTTGATTAAAAATACGGGAGAAACTACAAGATTTCCAACATATAACTGACTGCTACTCGAGACTTTTAAACCTTACTAGAACAAGAAACATAATTGGGATTTGAGTAATCCAACAAAACCCCATAACTGGTAATAATCAGGCTTTTAAATCTAACAAGTCCTAAACTCAACAACCAGCAAAATTAACATGCAACTTTGAATGATTTTGAGGGCGTCTTTGACAATGTAACATGATTATCTACCAACGGCAACTTTTTACCAAAACCGAAATGATGAATCGAGATATCACACTCTTTACATGCCCCAGATGGTTGATGAAGATCGCCATACTAAAGCTTTTAATCAATCTTGACGGATGAGAAGAGACAATGGACAAAATAAAATGACATCATGAAGCCAATGGTGCCCGTTGACAACATGATTGCAATTGCCATGATCATCGAGTACCCGAGATAAAGGATAACCGACACAGGACCACTCAAACTCTGTAGATCGAAGACCAGGTAATTGACGGAGTAGAGGAAAACATAGAGTGCTAATGAACCCGATGCAAAGAAAGCCTTCCACCACCATCGCCAGTCCTCAACTCAAAGATGCATGAAGGTAAGGACCACTGACACTTCGGCACAAAGAATGGTCAGCAGTAGAAGAACCATAAGCAAGAAGCCAAACACGTAATAAAACCTGCCAAGCCAAATGCTCGAAAAAATGAAGAAGAGTTCAATGAAAAGGGTTCCCAATGGAAGGGTCCCATCACCAAGAACAAGAAGACATGACGGATATTTGCGTTCAGGAATCTCCCGAGGAATCTGGTTGGTTCATGCGGGATATTGAATAGCTTCAGCCCTTGTCCCTATGAATCCTCCAATGAGAGTGAGAGGCACAGAAATGCAGAACCAGAGAGATAAGAGTACAAAATATAGGGAAATGGGGATTGCACCCGTACTGTTTCTGCCCCAGAGAATAAAATTCAATATCGAAAGGATAACAAAGACAATTCCAGGAAAGAAACACGCAACCGACCACGAAACAGACCTCCATCCTTCTGAAGTTCCCTTGATAGTTCTCCAGAGACGTACAATTCTCCAGTAATTGGAAACCCTCATAATGATAGTTATCTTAGAAATAATATATCTTTCATAATGCACTAAATGCAGTGAAAAATTTTAGCCTTATGTCTCAAAAGGGTAAAGTACTAGCCAAACTTCACTTCGAATTGTTTTCAAAGCAACCGCAAGCTGTTTGTCTTCAGAAGGTGTTCTGAACTCAATAGCACAAAAGGAGGAGGGAGGACTCTCAAGTATTATATGCTAACATGTATGCCAAAGCAATAGTATAAGTCAAGTGGTATATGGCATTAATAGATTTTCCAGGCAAACCAAAGCAACAATACATAGCATAATTAGTAGATAGTTCTTCTATCTACATTTATATCTGAATCCCTACAGCCAACTATAACTCTCCTTCACCGCTTCCCAAAGCAGGGGTGACTCCACAGAAAAAATAGAAGATATCCAACATTTATATTTGATTAGTGGTATAATAGGTGACTTCCAAGGAAGAAAAGGATTGATTGGGGTTGTAGATTGAAAGGAAAAAAGAAGAAACAGGAGGAAAATACAAGAAAAACAATTTGTTGTTTCAGTTTCTTAATTTTCTGTCTTCTGTTATGTTTCTACATAAGAGTGAACTAGTCGTTACAAGTCGCATGTTATCTGAAAACCTGAAAGCTAGTAAGCCCCATTCCTAATCAATTATGTTATTGAATACAAACTAAACTGAAGGCCTCTGAGATGTAAAGTAAAATGTAGATGAGAGACATCTATAGGATCAAGAATACCAACACAAAATGGTAGGAAAAGTGGCTGTAGAACCTTCCAAAATCACATAATTACAATTTGGAAGAAAGAACAAACATAAAGGTTATCATCATACCCTGAAATAAGGGTTCGTGCAAGAGCACACTCGTGATTCTTTAACCGATGGCCTTCATCAACAATCATGTAGTACCAGTGTATCTTCTTCAAGAATGCTTTATCTCTCATAATAAGATCATAGTGTGTGATCAAAACATTAAATTTTCCATCTCTTGATATTTCTTCCCTCATTGACTTCCTCTCATCCAAACGTCCATCATAAAGGACTGCATGAATGCTGAAACAAGAAGAAAATGCCTAAGAAATTTCAAATTATTAATTACATGTAGAAAAGCAAATGCAACCTTTTGAATAAATGTGTGCATGTGTTGATGTACCCGTGCATGAGAGAGATGTTTTCAAAAAATAATTGTGTACCTAGGAGCCCATGCCGAAAATTCATGGATCCAATTTGGTAATACAGCTTTTGGAGCCACTATCAAGTGGGGCCCAGTCACCCCTTTGTTCTCCATGAGATATGCAATTAATGAAATTGTCTGTATTGTTTTCCCCAACCCCATCTCATCAGCTAAAATTCCATTAAGGTTGTTATTGAACAAAGAAAGCATCCATTGGAGCCCTTCTAACTGGTACGGTCTTAACTCTCCACCTTGAAGCATGGACGGTTGCTCCGTTACCTGTTTACGGATCACAAATTTACTTGCTTCTTCCCAAAAAAATTATACAGAAATTAAAACATAACAAATATTGAGAACATGGATGGTTTGCTTTGCAAATAGAAAATGATTAATAAGATATTTTTTTTTTATAGAAGTTGGAGGTCTCATTAATAACTCCCTTCGTATTCGTTCATACACTAAGAAATATGTTAACGAACATTAGAAGGAAGAAAAGAGTACCTCTTAGTTTATTAATAATAATACCCAATACAAAAGACAACACGGAATATCCTCCTATGGTGATATACACCATTACAACAAACACCTTAACCTCATAAATCCTCATCCAAAGCCGCAGTCGAATCACCTTATATCTAATTACACCTCCATCAATAGGATTAAAACAACGCAACAGAACATAATTCAAAAGAAAAGCAACACCTGCAACCATATAAACTAAAACAAAGCCACAATTGGAGAGACGAGATCTAATGAGATTTGTCTTCTTCAGGAGCCCAAGAGTTTGGTTTGAATGATGGCTCTATCTCATGCACCATGATCTTGAAGGAGTTGTCACCAATCTTCAATTCCAACGTCGCATCAATTCTCGCATCAGCCTTTGTGAAGACTTGAAATTTTGCCCGATCAAAGGATGATGGTGACTGACAGCTTTCGTCGATTGCTAGTAAATGACCCCACTTATCAGCAATGTTCTTGAAAATATCCCAATTCCATGTGTGAAAAGGAACACTCTCGCAAACTAACCATACTCGACGACACTCCATTACCAAACTCTCTGACCAAACTTCGACTCTAGAGAACCACTCTGTGAGAGTCTGATTGATCGTTCTTCACACTTCTCAATGAAGAAGAGTCTTCGAAAATCATTAATACCGCATTTCCAGCAGCTCTCATTAAGGAGAAGTCAGTGAGGCCCTTCGCATGCAATTGTCTAGCGAGATGACCGATTTTGATAAAGTCCTTGCACCACCCCACTAGACAATTGCTCAACACCTGAAGTTTTTCTTCATCTATATCGCCTTCAACTTTATGATTCTTCCTCGAATCATCTTCCATCCCGTACTTGCAGTGAACACCTGTCGAGGACCTTCTCTAATAGGAATGTCGAGGTTTGAATTTAGAGAAAGAAACACCAATTTTACTGCCATCAATATGAGAGCCATTCATTTTTGAGATCGCTCTCCTTACTTCTTCGATTAATGCGAAGCGAATGAAACCAAAGCGAACTCTTTTTGAATTTCTTTTATTTGGAATAAAAGCATCAAGTACCCGACCGTGGGAGCAAAATAAAGATCCAAACCTCTTCCAATGGATCTTCTCTGGTAAATTTTCAATAAATATAGTGTAGCATCCAGACTTGACATTACTGCACCCCTTTGTGGTGGACTCCCTGGTTCCCTCGTTGACAACTTCTACTGCAGACTTTTCATCGCAACACCTAGTTTTAACAGGCACATGAATACTAGGAGATGCTACAGAAGTTGGATTTGGATCAGAATCTGTAACTATTCCTCTTTTAACAACAAGATTCTTCCTTGCCATCTCAATGTGCAAAAAGGACTTCAACTTAGCATCAAAAACCATTTTCTGAAGGGCATCCTTGGCAGCAGCTGCAAATTTTGCATTTGAGAAGAGAGCGAAACCCTTAGGCTTTTCTCCCTTGTAGCTCAATTGCGAATCTTCAAAACATGGAAGCCATCTCAGTAAATTCTGCAGCTCTCTCTCTTTGACATCCTCAGGCAGACTCATAATGAAGATAGTACGAACCTCGTCATGATGAGAAGGGTGAGATGGCGGAGAAAGCGCGGCTGCAGAGGGTGGAGGAGCTTGGACCAGAGGTCTCTGCTGGAGAGAAGGGTGGGATCCAGCACCCGGCATGTGATGAATGACTGTTGAAGTTAAAAACCCAGAGACTTGACGAACTTTCCTGGACGCGCGCCCGGCGATGGTGAATGCTGTGACTGCCGGCGAAGAAGAGAAGGGTGGAGGTGATGAAGAGAGTCCAATAGGAAGATCTTGAGCCTGAGGAAAGATGAAACTACGTAGTTGTCCTTCAACCAAACCCTCAGAGGTGGTTTAGATCGGGAGAACAACTTGGCAGAACCATGGCTTGTTCTATTTTTGTATAACCGGTCATATACTGATTCACAGAGAATGGCAACGAGTCTGGACGCTAGGATAGATGGGATTTGCTCGCGAGTGTACGGCGAGCCCAATGGAATGAAGGTGTACTGGTAACGTACGACGGCGTAAATCAGTGAAAAACAGTGTTTAGATCTGCGTCGATTGAATGACTTTCTCGTAAATCTAGTCTCGAAAATGGAATCAGAGTGAGACGATCTTCCTGAGGAAAAACGACGGCAAACGGATGACGGAGTGTGGCGGTGGACGGCGGACGACGTTGATGAACGTCAACGGACGGCAATGGTAAAGATGAAATGATGTATGAAAACAAAATCACCTTGAACCAAGAAAGAAGCAGGAGCATCTCTCACTAGGTTTGAAATTCAAAAATCAACCTCCAACATGTATAAGTATAAGCAAAAGAAACAAAAATTATAATGATTAATAAGATATCATATGGTAGCAATTGGGTGGATACCAAGGAACCAACACTGTCAATTGGTAGAGGAATGACAATTCACAGGCATCAACTTGGACATGTGTTCTATTATTGAGTATATAGTATATTCTCATTAGCAATTAGCCACAACTAGTAATTACCACAAAATCCCAAGAATAATCTATATATGTGTGTTCAAAAAGAAGGAATCCAAGACTAAGAGATTGCAAATGAACATACTGGAAGTACCTTGAAATAATTTTTTTTTTATTGAAGTAGGAGGTCTCATTAAAAAACCCCTTCATAGTTATCCCTAACCAAGAGGAAAGGGACAATTAGCGGAAGGCGGAAAAGAGTACCTCATTTTATTGAAATTTATAAATTACAAAAGAAAGCCTTTACATAACATTTGGAATGTTGCCCTCAAAAGATTCATGAAAAGCCTATATACCATCTAACAATTAGCCGATCCCTTCCTTAGCTAACTTATCAACCTCCCAATTACAGCCCCTAGGAATTAACTTTACTATCAATGCCCTAGACAATACGTAAGACTCAATCTCCTTAATTAAATTAGTAAAGAACACAGGGGCAAGACATAACGATTGGATCCATTCCACGGCTGATTTGCAGTCACTTTCCAGAATCAACCTGCCTTTATTCGACCAGATTGAGGAATAGAATAATTTTCTAACAGTTAAAAGCAACTGAAGCATTTAAGCCGTTTTAATCACCATGAATTTGCAGCAAGTAGACATACATCAATGGAATTCTAAGAATCACATGCCAATCGTCCTTTGGCCCCATATAAACTCAATGGTCCATGAAAAACATTAAAAATGAAAACATTTTTCACAAGGATACAGACAATAAGGTTTATAATCTTACCATTTCTTGAATTGAGTGAATAGCCAAGTTATACTGCCGCTGACCTTCAAGTAGATCACTGGATTCATCATTCTGATCAGAATCAGTGGCATCTATATCTTCTTCAGGAAGTGAATCTTGAGGAGTTCCATCCTTTGAAGCATCCAACTCAGGTGAATCAGAATCTAAATCCTTCAAATCTTCAATACCATCTGAATGTTTAGCACCTTTCTGACGCTGAACAGCAGCTCCTAAATTAACAAGGAGCTTATTTGTTTCCGAAAGAAGCATAGTTAATCGCTCATTCTTGCTCTCCTTCACTAATCTCAAATATGCTTCTTGATCATCAGCCTTCAGGGCCTGGAACCTCAATTTCTCAGCCCTCGTAGCACGTTGTCTTTGCCTTCCATGCCATGCCTGTAAAAATACCAAACTTATGCTATAGGTCCCTTCTGATTTATACCAAATTGCATAATGACTATAGCTATTTGTAAGTGATGTTAAATCCAACAATAGAAATATATAAAGCATTGTTATAATTAGAAAAGAAGATTAACTGAGCAACATGTTTCTCGAAAGTCTTCCTCTTGTCTAAAATATATGCATACATTTCTGCCAAAATATATTCAATATCTAAATATTGTAACCATGGTGTTGTTTCAAGTAAAAGGACAGTAAGCATATGCATAATCAAATCACAAAGACTACCAAAAGCTTTTGGTATTTGGCTCAGAGTGCTGGTATGCTTCTATGACATCAATAAACCTCTAGATCTATGTTACTCGGACTCCTCATTTTTCAAGAAATACCGGTGTTCGACACTTGGATATGGGAATATGATGTTCAAGGATCCTTCAAATATATGGAAAAAATTTAGAAAAACCTAACCATAACCGTGTCCAACATTTACACCCGAGTCCAAGTAATATAACTCTAGATAATATTAACTGAGGACATTTCAATAATTGGTAAACATCACCCACTATGAAATGTTTGATTGAAGGATCTAGTACAGGCATTCTCCATACTGACTCTTCTAGATTTTCATTCATTTTATCTGAAAATAATGTTGGATTGAAAACATATGGTAAACCTTTGATAAATGAGAGACAAGGAGTAAGCGAGAGTCTGCATATAATAATCCAATGCTAATAGTTACTAGAAAAACAATAGAAACGTCTTTTTGTTGGAGTGCGAGTAGTATCATAATTATACCAGTTATACTGACTTCATTAGAATGCAAGTAAGTGTTTGTATCATAGAGTGTAATGCATATTGTAGATAGATTTCAGAAAGCACTCTATGTGGTGCTCCAGCTCACTCTTCTTTGTTGAAAGAATAAATCAGAGATGTCATTTTATCTGTTACCTAACACCTCCCATTAGTTCGATCAACATTGGCTCAAGACAAACATGTTCCACAAAATTCCACATATATTCTTCCCATTAACTAAGTAAAGCACAACTTTGCATCCCTCTATCCCTACCATATGAATGATAAAACACTGTAAAAGTATACCACACAGAAAGAATATTATACCAGAACACCATCATTCCTTTGTTTTCGACGCTTTAGAGCAGCTTGAATCTGCAATTGGAAGTCACGGAATGCATTAACTATTTCTGAGAAAAATTTCTTCTTTCTATTCTCCAAATGGTTCCTCTCCTCCTCTCTCAATCGTGATAGCCTCTGCAAAAAAAATCACTTCATCAACAGCACATGAGAAATTTCAATCTCCTTTTGACATATGAATACACATACATATATACATATTCATATACACAAACTGTAGGAATTATAGAAATGAGTTGTCAATCCCTTAAGTTAAGAGATTATGTAATTATTTTCTGTTTTTTCAATCCCTTATTTCAAGGGATTACATCTCCTAGGATTAGTTTCCTTTCTTAGAGTTTCCTAGTTTAGAGGCATAATTTGTATATAAATATGTAATATGTTCTACTGAATGTACACAAGAATAAAAAATAACAAACTTGTCTGTTTTCTACAGTCTGTTTTCTACATGGTATCAGGTTAGAGCGATCAATCCGATTTCCGCTTCTCTTTAAATCAATTCCTATTCAACTCTATTTTTTTTCATGGCTAATCCGGATCCCTCAGCATCCGAAATCACTTCCCAGACCAGCCCCTCTCAATCTGATTTTCAGATTTCAGTTTTCAAATTTTCAAAGCAACAGAGGAAAAATAGCCTTTGGTGTGAACATTGTAAGAAGCCAGGCCATATGATAGATCAATGTTGGAAGCTGCACGGAAAACCAGCCGATTGGCAGCACACACGGTCCAAGTTTCAAAAGGAGCCTCATATTGCCTCTCAAGATGATTCCTCAAGCAGTTTTAGCAAGAAACAGATAGAGGAATTGCAGCAGATTTTGAGCAGTATGACAGTCAAGCCTACAAATGTGACTTATACTACTATTGATGGAAATAATCCATATGCTTCCTCGGTACAATGGATAATAGACTCGGGTGCATCAAATCATATGACAGGAAATATTAATATCTTGAAGGAATATAGTGAAAGCAGCTTACCAGCTTCTATCAAAATAGCAGATGGTTCTCTCACTACAGTCAAAGGGAGTGGTTCTGTTACATTAAACAAAAATATACTACTTCATAATGTTCTCTATGTTCCTAGACTTGCATGCAATCTGTTGTCAGACAGCAAATTAATTAAAGATTTTGGTTGTAATGTTGTGTTTGGTACTGGTGGTTGCATTTTTCAGACACAGGGCTCGAAGAGGGTGATTGGCAGTGCTAGGCTGGGTAAAGGATTGTACACCCTTGGAGGTAAAGCATCTCATAATCATGCCTTATCTAGTGCTCTTAGGAAACCAATTTTATCTTCTGATCTCAATACCAATAAAATTATGTTATGGCACTCTAGATTAGGTCATCCTAATTTTTTCTATCTTTCCAAAATGTTACCGAACTTATTCATTAATAAAGATCCGTCTTTGTTTTCCTGTGAAATTTGTCAAATGGCCAAACACACCAGAAAACCATATATTCCAGCCAAATTTGAACCAACACCACCTTTTTCCATCATCCATAGTGACATTTGGGGCCTTTCTCTTGTCAAAAGTATTTCTGGGTATAAGTGGTTTGTGTCTTTTATAGATGATTACTCTAGGACAACATGGGTTTTCTTAATGAGAGAAAAATCTGAGGTTGAGTCTATCTTTAAAAGTTTTTATCAAAAAGTTGAAACCCAATTTGACACAAAAATCAAAATTCTAAGGAGTGACAATGGGAGTGAGTATTTGAATAAAACCCTTGGGTATTTCTTTAAGGAAAAAGGCATTGTTCACCTTACTTCTTGTGTCAACACACCTCAACAAAACGGGGTAGCAGAAAGGAAAAATAAACATCTTCTAGAGGTTACTAGGTCTCTTATGTTTGCTGCTAATGCTCCTAAGTATCTTTGGGGGGAAGCTCTTCTTACAGCCACTTACCTCATCAATAGAATGCCAAGTAAAACCTTAGATTTCAAAATTCCTACTAAGGTTCTGTTTCAGCTGTATCCCCATTTTAAACATTTAAACTCAAGTCTTTCTCCTCGGGTGTTTGGGTGTACAGCCTTTGTTCATATCCACAACAGAGGGAAATTAGATCCTAGGTCCATAAAGTGTGTGTTCTTGGGCTATTCTTCGAGTCAGAAGGGTTACAAGTGTTACTCACCTTCCACCAAAAAGACCTATGTCTCCTTTGATGTTACATTTTTTGAAAACCAACCTTATTTTTCAGGAACAAAAATTCAGGGGGAGAGTTACAAGGAATTTCAGCCTGTTCAAACCGATATTTCTTTACAGCCTATTAGTTACAAGGAATTTCAACCTGTTCAAACCGATATTTCTTTACAACCTATCCTTTCCTTACCTATTAATGTCTCTCCAAAGCCGGCTAGCACTGTCCTAGTTCCTAAGGAGGGTGATGGGAATAACCTAAATAACTCTGATGAATTACCTTCCTCCTTATCTCAACACTCTAGTCCGTGCAAAACACCTTCCACCACTACCAAAAATGCACCTAACAATGACCCTAAAACCATAACTCCCCAACCGAAACAACTCAGTGTTTACTCAAGAAGAAGGAAAGATGTTGCTGAAGAAATCAGTCAGCCTAGCATTTGCCAAGAACCAGATTCGGATCCTGTTGCAGCTGAAACAGAAGGTAATGATGGTTACCAAGAGGCTACTACTGTTGATCTTGATGACTTTCCTATTGCTATTAGGAAGGGGGTAAGAAAATGCACTGCTCATCCCATAAATAAGTATGTTGCATATGGGAAATTACAGTATAATTTCAGGGCCTTCACTGCCAGTATTAACACTATGAAAATCCCAAGAAATGTGACAGAAGCATTTCAATCTCCTGAGTGGAAAAAGGTTGTGGAAGAAGAGATAAAAGCATTGCAAAAGAATAAAACATGGAGTTTGACAGATTTGCCAAAAGGGAAGAGAGCTGTTGGATGCATGTGGATATTCACAGTCAAATATCATTCGGATGGGAGTGTGGAAAGATACAAGGCAAGGCTGGTTGCTAAAGGTTTTTCTCAGTCCTATGGCATCGACTACCAGGAGACTTTTGCACCGGTTGCAAAATTGAATACCATCAGAATATTGTTATCAGTAGCTGTTAACATGGACTGGAAATTGCATCAGCTGGACATAAAGAATGCTTTTCTGAATGGGAACCTTGAAGAAGAGGTATACATGGAGGTCCCCCCCCGGATTAGAAGGAAAAGTCACTAAGAAAACTGTGTGCAAGCTCAATAAATCCTTATATGGCTTAAAACAGTCTCCCAGGGCTTGGTTTGATCGATTTGCTAAGGTTATGACACAGAATGGTTTCAAACAAAGCCAAGCAGATCACACATTATTCAGAAAAATTACGCTGAGTGGTAAGATAACCCTCCTAATTGTCTATGTAGATGATATGAATATAACTGGCAGTGATATAGAAGAAATAGAAAAGCTAAAGATGAATCTTGCAAAGGAGTTTGAAACCAAGGATTTAGGGAGTATGAGGTATTTCCTGGGTATGGAAGTTGCAAGGTCCGAGGAAGGGCTGGTCATAAACCAGCGTAAGTATGTTTTGGATCTTCTTGCAGAAACTAGGATGCTCGACTGCAAACCAGTTGAAACTCCAATGGAGCAAGGCTTGAAATTTTGCAAGGAGAGGACTGGAAATCCAGTAAACAAGGAATCCTACCAAAGGTTAGTTGGGAAGTTAATCTACCTGTCACTGACCAGGCCTGATATTGCATACTCAGTGAGCATTGTCAGCCAACATATGAGTGATCCTCGAGAAGAACATTTGGAAGCTGTTAACAGAATTTTAAGTTTCTTGAAATTTACCCCAGGAGCTGGACTTATATTTAAAAAAAATCAAGACAGAACAGTGAAGGTTTATACAGATGCAAGCTGGGGAGGTGAATTAACTGATAGAAGGTCAGTTAGTGGCTATTGTACCTACGTTTGGGGTAATTTGGTGACTTGGAGAAGTAAGAAACAAGCTGTTGTCTCTCGAAGTAGTGTTGAGTCAGAGTTTAGAGCAATGGCTCTCGGAATATGTGAAGGAATGTGGATTAAAAGACTGCTCACAGAATTGGACTTAGATGACAAGAAGAATTTTGAGATTTTTAGTGACAGTCAATCAGCTATGAGTATAGCAAAAAATCCAGTGCAGCATGATAGAACGAAACACATTGAGATAGACATTTTATTTACGAGAAGGTCAACAATGGAGTTGCAAAACTGCAGTACATTCCGACGAAGAAACAGCTGGCAGATATCTTCACCAAAGCCCTTCCACGAGTGACTTTTGATGAGATGTCATTCAAACTGGGTATATACAACATATATACACCAGTTTGAGGGGGAGTGTAGGAATTATAGAAATGAGTTATCAATCCCTTTAGTTAAGAGATTATGTAATTATTTTTTGTTTTTTCAATCCCTTATTTCAAGGGATTACATCTCCTAAGATTAGTTTTCTTTCTTAGAGTTTCCTAGTTTAGAGGCATAATTTGTATATAAATATGTAATATGTTCTACTGAATGTACACAAGAATAAAAAATAACAGACTTGTCTGTTTTCTACAGTCTGTTTTCTACACAAACATATTCCTTTTAGATACTGCATGCGATGATTTTTCATTCTACAAGTTATCTATCCTCATTTCTCCTAATACAAAGGTTTGCATTACTCATTAAGGGGGCTTCCTAGCTCCTATGATTCTACCATACCAAAAGTCAACTAACTGAGCACTCCTAGCAATTTTATCCTTCCTCAAAAATCCTCTAGAAAATCTCTGCAGTTGTTGATTGCTATATCACATAGCCTCTCTCGTGCCCAAATAAATGAAGACATGAGAAAATGAGATCTCTAAGGAAAAATGATTTGAAAGGTAAATACTAAACGGTAATCACAAATTTGTGTGCACAATCTCATCCCACGAGGTTGAAGTTCAGTTATTACAGAGTTATCAAAAATCAATGTAGATTTTAATAACCCGGTGGTTCAAAATTTCTACAGGAAACTTGCTGGTTGGAAGGCTTCTACTCTTTCATTAGCAGGGAGATTTGTATTGGTTAAGTCGGTCTTATGCTCACTTCCTAATTATTTTTTGTCGATGTTTAAGATTCCAGCCTCGGTTTACAAAATCCTCAATTCGATCATGTCAAAGTTCGTATAGGGAGGGGGAAATGGGAAAAACAAGATACATTGGATTAATTGGTCTACTGTGTGTAAACCAAAGAATGAGGGAGGTATGGGAGTACTGGATCTAAATTTGATGAACATAGCTTTATTAGGGAAATGGTCATGGAGGTTTGCTAACGACAGGAATTTTGTTTGGGGGAGAATGATTTGCAGTAAATACAATATTGATCCAGCCATATTATTGTTCGACAGTAAGGTTCCAGCTCAATCTTCTTGGATTTGGAGATCAGTGGTGAATAACCATTTCGAAGATGACCCTTTCAGTTCTAAGTTTCGAAGTTTGTGTAACTTTCAAGCCGGTGATGGAAAGCTTATTCGGTTCTGGCAAGATATTTGGACTATGGATTATCCGCTCTTGGTCATTTTTCCTAAACTGTTTTCTATTACTTCAAACAAGATTGGCAAATTATGTGAGTTCGGGGAACATCGATCTATGGGCTAGATTTGGAATGTTCAATTCATAAGAAATTTAAATGATTGGGAATTTGAACAATGGTCAAATTTGATGGTTATCATTTCCAGTTTTTCACTTTTCAAAGATTCCAATGATGGTTTGATATGGAAAGACAGTGAGGATGGTGTGTATTATGTTAGCTCTTGTGTCTAGTTGTGTTCTTCAGGATCGGAAGAGGTCAATTTCTGGAAAAATATAATTTGGAGGGGTCTGTTTCCTCCAAAAGTGGAATCTTTTATGTGGCAAGTTGTTCTTAAGAATCTAGCAAGTAAGACTGAACTGGTTAAAAGAGGGGTTCAGGGTATTGATGATGTTTTATGTCTTCTTTGCAAGTTGGTGGAGGAGTCTTCCTCACATTTATTTTTTTCCTGTTCTGCTGCGTGGTCTTTATGGAATAAATTCTTGAAGTCGTGGAGGCTCAATTATGTTTTTCATACTAATGCCAAGATTTTTCTCCAAGCCTGGGAAGATTTGAAGAACAATTCTACGATATGGTCATTTGTTCCAGGAGTTTTTCTATGGACCATCTGGAAAGTCACGAATTCGATTGTGTTCGAAGGGGGGAAGTTAAACCGTACTGAATTATTTTTCTTAGCAAGGTTTAGGCTTGCTTCCTGGTTTTCGGCCAAATATAAGGAGATCTCTATCCCCAAGGATTCTCTTATCTTTGATCTTTCTCTAGGGGATTCTTGTTCCTCCTCCAATAAAACGGTTGTAACTAAGATCCCTTGGTCTTCTCCTCCTAAGGGCTTCATTAAATTGAATGTTGATGCTGCTTCTAGTTCCAACTGGAAGAGAAATGCATTAGGTGGAGTTTTAAGAGATTATGCTGGTTTGATTGTAGGTTCTTTCAAGGAGTCTTATGGTCTGAGCCCTCTAACCTTGATGGAGCTTAAAGCTATTCAAAAGGGATTATATTTCTTTATCTATTTTCGAGGAATTGTTAAGGATCGTTTGATAATAGAGAGTGATAGCAGAGTGGCAGTGGACTGGATTAAGAACGTTGAATTATGCCCAGATGTGTATGCTTCTATTGTTAAAGACATAGTTGATAGGCTTAAAGTTTTCAAGGAATTGTTAGATGGGTTGCTTGGACGGCTAACTTAGAGGCTGACGCCTTAGCTAAGGTAAGAATAGGCTGAGTTCAGTGTTCTTGTTTACGGTTGTTTTATGGTTTTCTGTTTCTGTAAGGGGTGTTTTCTTTGTTGTATTTCCTATGTAACTTTCTTGTGATGAATAAAATCTTAAGGCACTTTTTTCCTCTTTCTGCTGATTAAGGAGCTCCGCTGATTAAGGAGCTTCCCTACGAGCTCCATTAATCAAGAAGGGATTTTTAACGAGGCCTACAATTCTTATCAAAAAAATGTAAATTTTAATACCCATTCCCTCAAGCAACATGAAATTAAAATGACTAATAGATAAAGCAAAAAGACCTCGTAATCCCGTTTCTTTCTCGTTTGATCATCTGCTTCTGTAGTGAATGGAACAAAAATGCCATACGGATGAAAAGGCAATCGCGCCATTCCCCAGTCAAACAATTGCTTGTCAGGATATGCACAGTTGGCATGAAGCCAGTATTCATTGCTTATATAAGAACGTATTTTGCTTTGCAACTCTGCTAGCTGCCAAGGAAAAGGTCCCATATCATTCACCAAAACCAAGAGAAAGTGAAGTATAGAAAATTATTCATCATCATCAATCTAAGTCCTTAACAGATAGTAACAATAGAAAGCAAAATCTAAGTCCATAGTCAGTCTATAGGGGAAGAAACAACTTCATGATAGTGCAATCAATCAACAGCTACCTAAACTGTAGAACAAATGATCACATTTCCGGTATTAATATGGAGTTCACATAGAACTTAAGAAATATGGGTTTATGTGTATATCTACAACTTTACCGCATTAGTTTACCTTTAGTCCATAGAGTTCAAGTAAACACTTTGTCTGCAAGTCCTCCCCTCTACTTGAAGGCAAATCTGATTCAAAACATAAGTGCTTAAGTAATGCTTCTAAAATGGTAGTCAAAATAAAACTTGAAACAACATGTTGCTACTATTAAACTCATAGATGCCAGTAATGGCAATAGAAGGGTGACATGATTTTCAATCACTAATTTTAACATATCATGGCTATGTAAAAATGAAAAATACAGAATACTTGGTAAAGATCCTGTGTACAAATGACAACCTTCAAGTTCATTCAATCGATGATGAATGTGGCTCTGGTAACGGTTTTCCTTTAATTCTGCCAAGCTAAAACCTGACATGCATTTTGATCGTTGTTTTGATAGTGCACCATCAAGGTCACACAATAAATCATCCTTCTCAGAAATAGAAGGATCATCCTGCCACATTAAATCAATTTAAGAACGCAAAAGGAAATATATGATAGTGCTAAAATTTAGAAGTAATGAAATTATTGCAGACAGTCCACAGCAATGACAACCAAACTTTTGCGAAATTAATTAATTTCAATGTGAAACGGCCAACACTAAAAACCTACAAATCATGTATAGAAATCAAATTCAGTCAATTCAAACAATAGGGGGGGCTACTTCTTACTGAAACAGAATCCTCCGAAAACTTCGAACTTTTCAACAGCAAAATGGAAAAACAATAAGAGAATGTTATTACTCCCTATAACAGATCAAAATATGTTATTAGACATAAAAACAAAACTAAAACTGACCATCTCATCAATTAAAGAAAATGCCACAAGTTCAAAAACAATTCCTCGCACAACATCAAAACTAATAAGAGCATCTACGAAAGAAACAAAAAAATAAAAAATTCACAGAGAATTTTTTTAGGTTATTAGATGAATTAAGTTACTACATTTGGTGGTTTATTTATCTTTTCTTTAAAAGAAATACTAATTTTTAAGAAAATAAAATATAGTTGTATTTCTATTTTGTAATTTAATTACAATTACGCTACTTTAAAAATGTATCTTAGTTAATGGAAAGAAACTTAAAAAATATTTATTCGAGCAAGTAAATTTAACTTAAAAATTAAATCTTGACCAGTATTTGAAGTAAATTCATATAAAATTTAACACTTATATCACAAATAAGTACCTAAAGCATACTCTATTTTTCATTTAAGTGCCTAAAGTATTTTTTAGTCAAAATAAATACATAAAGTTATCTTTTTAGTCAAAATAAGTACCTAAATTATTCAAACTTTTTCATCTAAGTTCTAGGAAGGTTGACATGTGGCATTAATTAAAGAATACTTCAGGTAATTGGATGAAAAAATTGAATACTTTAGGTACTTAAATTAAAAAAGATGGTATACTTTAGGTAACTTATTTGTTATATAAGCCAAAATTTAATTTCGAAAAATCACTCCCGAATCTGGGATTTTGAACTGAAATTTCGAATTATAGACTAAATGATTGAGCCACTAAACAAATTCATAACCCCCCAGTCACAACCCAAACAAAATAAACAAAAAGGTATCCAAGGAAATAGCATAAATGAAGAGAAATTGACACGAAAGAAAAACAATTCAGACAATTCAACACAAAACAAACTTAAAGGGAGAAAAAACTGAAGTTCCAAACAATTTGCATCCGTACGGAAAGAAGAGCAAAAACTCAAAAGGGGAAATCCAAAATTACTCACCAAATTCGTATGGGCAAGTCCAGACACATCAGATCCAGACTCAACCTGGGTTCCATTCTCAATGGCCTCAAGAAGCCCTTCCTCTTGTTCATCAAAGCAAATAGAGGAAACGACGTCGAATAAATTAGGAGGGAGGGGAAGATTTCTAGAGACGAGGTTAAGGGCACATATCAAAGACTTGACCTTCTGTAAATCGACTAAACAAGGTTCCTCCTGATGCTGCTGCTCTTGGAGCTCTACCTTAGCCACCATGGCGGTAATCAATCTATTCCATTTCTTTTTTTTTTTTTGTGAGCGTGTATGTTTGTGGGTAGGGGGGGTTAAGCGAAGAACAACAAAAAAATCAGTCTCTAGTTTTTTTATGGGCATGAATGGTCACTAATTTATAAGTAAGTTGCTCATTTTCTCCACTAATATTTTAAAAATAATAAATTAATCAGTTGAATATAATCGTAACAAGGGATAGGTACGAGATTCGAATCCAACGGATTTCGACTCAATTCAATCCGAAAAATAATATAAAAATACCTATATATTTATGGATAATTACAATAATACCCTCTCTCTTTTTAATTAAATCCTTGTTTATTAAATAAAAAATAATAATTTTATATTATTTCATGTCGGATCGGGTTTTATCTCAAAATTGGGTTGAGTTTTGGGTCGAGTATAATTATTCTAAACTCGGGTCAAGTTAAGTTTTAGGTGAAGATATAAAATTTCAGGCCGGATCAAGTTGGACGGAAACTCGATCCATATCCATCCCTATTCGTAACTTTGAAGGCTTGACTATATATTGTATACTCCAATATGAATATATGTTGTCAATGGAATATAATTAAATTTAGGTTAAAAAAATTGTTATATAATAAGTCTTTATTATTTTTGTTTTGAACTTAAATATATTATATCTCCTAATATTTGATTATTACTTTATCCCTACGTGTAAAGTTCATTAATTTTAGAATAATAGTAAGAAAAATATGACAGTTTTTTTTAGAAAAGTTGTAGTAAGTTACAAGAGATTGTTTTGTTGAATCTCTCGATTATTAAAATTTATAAATTTTCCGACTATAAGATATTATGTTATTGAGTCCTTCGACTATTGAAAATTATAAAATAGTAACTCGGCTATTCATATGTTTCAAACTCATCTTTTTTTGTTAAAAAATTGACAATCGTCTAAGCTTTGTTGAGTCCCCAACTTTTAAAAAATATAAATTCTTCGACTATAAAATAATGTTCTATTGAGTACTTCAACTATTAAAAATTATAAAATAGTCGCCTGACTATTCATATATTTCAAACTCATATTTCTTTGTTGAAATTTGACGGTCGTCTAAGCAAGACGTTGTCATGCTCATTGGGATATCATAAAAATATGATCCTAAAACTTGTGAGTTATATTTCTTGAATCGGTTATCTGTTTACATTATATCGTCGAGCTGATACTTGAAACATTATATCATTGATAAAGTACTTGAAAGTGTCGACAATAATAATAGACATCATTAAAATATAATTTTATAGTATCTAAATAAGAAATATCTAATCCCTAAAACAAGGTTACGATGCATACATCTTCTTTCTATGTATTTGACTTTAATTTTAATGTATTAATGTCTTTATTTTATAAGATTTCAAGTTCAAGCATGACGATTTTAAAAGTATTTGAACGTCAATTGTCAATTAATTGAAGTCTTTTCTTTTTATAAAAAATAATTGATGTATTTTAAACATATACTGATTTATAAGAAAACATTAAATAATAATTTGACTATACAATAAAACTCTTATATCACGTACACGAATGAAACTCTTATAACATATTAACACATAACAATTAAAAATATCTTTTTATGATATACATAAAATCATGTCATTTTTTTAAAAAAAAAAGACCACGTTAATAATTATTTTATCTTAAAATTTTAAAAATATTTAAAATTGAATATCATTTAAATGTTTTTATTTCTCTATTTTCTAAAAAAATATTAATCAAAGGAATGTATTTGGGTCAGGGGCTAAGGCTTTGTCTGATACCATGGGGATACCAACCTTGAACCCACACAAAAGCAAATTTTACTCTGGTTTATTTTCTAACCAATCAAAGACGATATGTGTTATTGTTTGATTAGATAAAATATATTTAATAAATAAAATCAAATAATTAAAAAAATCAAATAAGATGTTAATATATGTCACATATTGATTAAATGGTTAATTTATTAAATTAAATATAATTATAATTTTATTAAAATATAATTTTAATAAATGATTAATTTCAAATAATCTATTATACTTTCTAATATTTACATAATAGAAATAATTTTTTAATGATGTATTTCAGTACACGCTTTAATAATATGTTACGGTATGTAACTTAACTCCGACTCGTCAATGAGTTATAATTATTATTTTATATTAATATCACTTAAATTATTACAATTGCATACATCTATAAAAAGTGGAGTTTTAAGAAGTATTTTATTCAGACATAGAAGCAGAGGACGAAATTACCAAGGAAGTGAGAGGGGTTATGCTGGCAATTTTCTCAATAAATATATCAATCACCGGTGATTTATTTACTAATCTAACACCAGTCAGATTATATTTCTCGATCTAACACTCGTAGCAGTAAAGCGCGCCCCTTGAACCGCGCTATACGCTGATTTGGCGCCACGTGGGTATAGCGCGCCCCCTGATCCGTGCTATACATGGGTATCTGACACGTGGGGTATAGCGCGATACAGAGAGCGTTATACCCCTAAATACACGTCCCCATCCTCCCTATAAATACCCCCATCCTCAATCACTTTTATCACACCAAATTCTATCAAATTCTCTAAATTTCTCTCAAATACTATATCTTTTTAAGGTATATTTTATAATATTTTTACTATTATGTATTTATTTTATTTAATATTTTACTAATATAATTATTTTGCAGATATATAATGGAAGGCAGTCTACTTCGCTCAGATGGAAATCATATATATCTACACTTTGCTGATACGGTAACATTTTAACGTTTTAATTTAATTTAAATTATTAGTAATATTTAGTTGATTTATTTAATGCATAATTATTAGATTAAGAATTAAATATCTCGACACTTTGCTGATACGGTAACATTTTAACGTTTTAATTTAATTTAAATTATTAGTAATAATTAGTTGATTTATTTAATGCATGATTATTAGATTAAGAATTAAATATATCGACACTTTACTGATACGGTAACATTTTAACATTTTAATTTAATTTAAATTATTAGTAATAATTAGTTGATTTATTTAATGCATGATTATTAGAGTAAGAATTAATTTTTGTAATTATTTATTTTTAGGAGAAGGACCGTGTATTAAATCATTTTATTAGGAATCTTAAGTTAGTGATACCCAGCCGTGTCTTGCCGTATTTAGTAGAGGCTGGATTCGGTTACATAGGTAGATATCAAGATCACTGTAAGATAGAGCCAGACCTGATTTCTGCCTTAGTAGAGCGGTGGAGGCCGGAGACCCACACATTCCATCTTCCGTGCGGAGAGTGCACGATCATGCTTGAGGATGTTTCTATGCACCTGGGGCTTTCGGTGGATGGAGATGTGATATCGGGGATAGCTTCCGGTTCTTGGACTACTTTGTGTCGGGATAGTCTAGGACATGTCCCGAAAAATTTTATCGGAGGTAGGATACCGTTAAATTGGTTAGATGCCAATTTTCGGGAGTTGAGCGCAGACGCCTCTGAGGATGAGGTTAAGATGTATGCACGGGCATGCATACTGCAGTTGATAGGAGGGTTGTTGATGCCGGACAAATCGCGCAACCTAGTTCACTACATGTGGTTGCGACATCTTAGCGACTTTCGTCTTGCCGGATCATTCAGTTGAGGCTCGATAGTTTTGGCTTTGCTGTACAGGGAGATGTGTGGAGCCACTGACTACAGACATAATGCTATCGGCGGATGTCTCCTGCTGAGTCTTGGGCATGGTATCGATTGCCCTTTTTATGTCCTGTTGTGAAGAACCCATTCGTATTTCCACTACTTCTGAGGTAATTATAAACCTGATTTTGTATATTAATAATTTTAGACAGCGTATAACAATTTTTTTCCTTGAATATGTAGTCTACTGATAGGAAAAATCATCAGGAGCTACCTGATGATTTAGAAAAAATTAGGGTGCTAATCGATCAGAAGGCTGGCACACAGGTATGAATTTTAATGTATAAAAATCGATTTTAGATTATAGTTATATAATTAGATTATTATTTTGATAAAAATTATATATTATTTGTTTTAGTTTGAATGGGTGCCATATTCTACTGATGATGTGAGGGCGGTGATCCCACCTGAGTTGAGGGGTCCATAAGATGTTTGGATGGCGATGATCCCTCTGATCTGTTATGAGACCGTCGAGTGGCACTCCACTGATCGCGTGCTCTGGCAGTTTGGTTGTTTTCAACCAATTCTGGAAGCACCTCGCAATATGGACGAGTTGCATAGCTTAGATAGACGCGGCAAGACAGATACATATTGGTTGGTGAGGCATCATGAGTGGGTCGTGTTGTGGGAAGATCGACATCGACGCCTTCCACGTAGAGAGCCCATTTTTACTGACTTCTTGATGTATGCTGAGGATTATTATGAGTGGTTCAACAGTAACGAGAAACCGTTTCTACTTCCCGAGGATGCACGAGGGCAGACCTTTCCACGACGTCGACACAGACGTTCACCGACACAGTACCATCGTCCCCCGACTCATGGACGGAGAGCAGGTGCTTCCGGTTTATCCTCAGCTGCACCAGCAGGACCTTCCCAGCAGCCACCGCAGCCATATATGATGCCACCATCGCCTTTCCATTACCAGATGCCGCCTCTTTCACCTAGTTTTTTGACCTCGCCACCGCCACCGTCACAGATGACCCCTCCTGGAGGCTATTATGGGCCTATGTTTGCAGATCTGACTTGAGGTTCATATGCTGGATATTTGGCGGGTTCAGCCTCATCACCCATGGCCGCAGCACAGACACATCCTGTACAGTTTTCACACTCAGCGATGTCTGGGTTTTCCCAGTTTTCGTAGGCCGGTGGGATAGTCAGTCATACACCTCTAGGGTCCTTATTCTATGGAAGTGCTTCATCGTCATCAGCTCCTCATCAACCTAATGTACCTACTCAGGACGACGACGACGATGACGACGATGACGATGGTACGACGATGACGACGACGATGATGACAGCGAGGAGTCAGAACTAGTGATACGAAGAAATCCTTCTCGAGACCGACAGCCACCACCCTGCGGAACACATTCGCGATGCAGGCATCGA